TACTTCTATGTAGATATTATGGGAGTTAAGGAGTTAAGCATTTTCCATCAGAACCAAAAAAAAAAAAATATATATAGACATAGGTAATGAATTGATATTATATTAAAGTCGGAGAGCAGAGAAATATAGGTTTCCAKAAATACAGGAAACAATTATTTTCAATTTGTACGAATATATCAATAAAACATTATTTTTATTTTTATTTTTATTATTGACTACTTATTAACCATAGAGATAGTTTTTTAATGATTTTAAGTGTCAATATTAGTATATAAATTATAATATCATATAAATTAATTACAAAGTCATATGTTGTTAAATCATCGTACAATATAAATTAGCCCAGATGAATTTCTTGTTGAATCATCAAATAAAAGATTTTTAATTGTGTCCAACAAAATGTCTATATTATACGATGTATTGAGTAATGGTATGTATATGCATAGGTACTTCGTGTTACATTTTGTTCTCACCTGTAATCCCAATTTATACTACTTAAGTCAGGAACGATTCCTGTCCTCGGATCCTTAATTTTTTTGGACATACCCGTAACTCGATAATTGAAAAGCCAAACGTCGAAACCCGCGTCTGATAGCAGGTAACCTAAACGAATAAAGTTATTCATATATTATACAGAAATTAAAATTTGTAAAATATACCTAAATAAAATTTAAAGGTGAAATAGATATGTTAAAGTCATATTTAATTTTGGCTTTCACAAATGTTTTACTGTAATCACTTAATTTGTATTGTTATTTGTAATTTGTAATTAATGTTTCAGTCCGTGAAAAGAAAATATTGAAACTAAGAGGTTTTACCATATTATTTTTAATATCTTTATTTAAAATGGTTTAATTTTTAAGTTTATTATTTTTTGTAATAATTATAGGTACGTAAAAATTATGCGAAAATCTATTTTGCTTGGGAATTATACCAAATGAGTAGTGGGTGGGGGGGAAGTCCTATAGTAAATTATAAAACAGCATTTTCGTTGAATTGAAAATAATTTATTATTAATCTAATAAAAAGTTGGCTGTACCTATAAAAAAGGTTTGTCATGGATACTTATATGATCGTGACCTTAGATCATATAATCAGGGTTTATAAAACATGATTAAATAAAATAGGRTAACCCTTTCTATGATGGTTTTATGATTTAGTTGATTTGGATTTTGAAACAAAGGCATAATCAATACGTCAAAAATATAATGCGTAAAGTAAATTAATGCATACTAAATTCAAATGATAGGAATCCAAAATAAATTTTTAAATATGAAATTTAGTATTTTTTATTACATGTTTTATATTTAGAAATTCTTACAATATGATTTTCAAACAAGTTAGAAAATTTCACTATTGAAGCGTGCAAATTCCAGGTTTCTAAATGTATTTTAATATTACACACAATAATAAGCTACAATTCTCAATTTAATTAATAGGGGAACTTTTGTTAGGAGCAACTTTTGACGAACATTATAATATTTTTTTTTTTTTTACTAATCAATAAGCTATCATACATTAAAAAAATGGGTATTATTACAAAAAAAAAATAATAGGTATTCGATTATAATGTATATTCATATCGAAAACTGGTTTGKCGTAAAAATTCCTGTAATTGTTTCTTAATTATTTTTCCAGATAACTTTGAAAAATACTCAAATTTYAAGACTAAAGAATTTTTATTGTTTCTTAAAATAATTTTAGTCACGAAAACATACATTGTAAAAAAGATTCTTTACAATACTCAAAGTSTTAAACACTGAAAATACATTTTACCATCATGTTTTATGAAAAATTAGGTTATAAGAACAATTTATATAAGAAAACTGTAATAATTAATTGATGATGATTACTTACCGAGTGATTTGTTATGCGATACATAAATAATTGAGGAGGCGAACATACCGGATAACAAGATTACGGGTTTACCGATTGTTTTGTTACCATATTTACTATATGGCATTCGTTCCATACCTAACATAAAATGGTCTTCAGTTTGATATTCATACATTTTAAGTGGATATCCACTAGCTTTGATTTTTTCCCACTTGAAAATAAAAAAAAACAACGTTGGTTTAGTTGTACTTTATAATTACACTATTAAAACATYTGATGTTATACATTATTTTAAAGATTAGCTAATGTTTAATGATATTTTTGCACTCACATATTTATGCATTTTTGTAAGTAGTTTTAACAGAAATAATTAGGTTTAAAAACTARTTTACTTATTGGCTATTGTCTATTATACTTAGAGACTTTATGCCATAAAAAACTCAAAATATGCACACTCACTTAAATATGCTCTTTAAATATACGTTATAGCAGAAACATTTTAACTACGCTAACGCTATATACATAATAGAAATATATTTTTATTGGTACCTATCTAATATTATTAGTTTATGTACGTAAAAGTTATACGTACCTACATAAATATACATTGTATAACATTTTATTAAATCTAGGTATATAAATTTATATTTATACCTTCAGATTTCAAGTATTTTTAAGGTTTTTTTTATGATTAATTTAATAAACACTTGGATCACTGCCCAAACAATAGTTATGTTAATGTATACCATTGTGTGATTAAAATAAATAAAAGCATATCAGTGRTTCATAATTGCTACTATGAATGTCCAGCAGACGAGGAAAACACAACCCACATTATAATTTCTTCGTTTTATTCTATTTGGTAAACTTACATTATATTTTTTTTTTACTAGGTAGTTTAAATAAAAATAAAATTGTAATCAAAAAATATGATAAGATAAATATTTAAATATACATTAATTAACACAACATAATATGAAAAAGAGCAAAATATGAAAACAAAAATAGTATCATGAAACAGATTTCTATATCGCTAAGCTATGCTTTGARTGAATATATCTTATAAATATGCAAACTCTTACAGGCTAAAAGTTTCTATACTAGCATATTTCTATCTATAGTGAAAATGTACTTACGGTTTCTTTAGATGACACAAAATATTGTGTATTATATAGAATCATCACCCAAAAATATAATATCTTATAAACATCCATATTTGTTACAAAATTAACTTAGAAATTCTTAAAAAATAATAAATACAAAATACGCAAAATGATAATTATTTTAGCACATGTTTTTATTGGTAGGTATGTTAAAAGTAATTGATTCTATTATGTGATATGATGTTTAAAGTTTGTATAAAAATATATTAATATTGAGTATTGAAAGACTGAATTAAATTTGTTACTCTTAAGTATAGATTCTGAGTGGGACTCCAAGGGCATAAGCATGATATTTAATTACAAATTTATAAGTACCGCGAAGTAATAAATACATCAGTTTTTTGTTGACGATTTATTTTTAATATTTATAAACTCGGTGAATTAATTTTAGTTATATTGAACTACACATTTTTAAATTATCTAAAAACAAAAAAAATGAGTTTGAAAAAAATTTAATTGCTTTGTAAATGTAACTAAAACGTAATTATTTACACTCAGTAGTCAGTAGTTGAAAACAATATATTGAAAATTTCAATAACTTTCTATATATGAAAATTAATTAACTTCTTCATATAATTAATTTGCTGAGTTGCTCAACTGTTAAATTTGATTTATATCCATATAAAATGTTAAAGTAATGTTATTTAAATTGATAAATTATAATTGATAGAGGTATTAATTTAATGATATTAAAGTTAAAATATAAATCAATTAAAAACAATTGTACAAAATGGTAGTTATGATCTTAATAATTATGAATCATTATGATTGAAAATCCCTAAAAAATACGCCATAAATGAATTATTCACAAATGTTAASGAGTTTATAGCTGATGGTATTCAAACAAAACAATGTTTTATTTTAATAGAAACATATAGATTGCTTAAAATACGATAAACATAATATATTTTATGTTATTAAATAACCTAAAATTACAATATGTATTATTAAAATTTAGTTATTTAGTAGCTTACTAGTAAAAACTTGTATGAATGTATGATAAAACCTACACARTGTTTAAACGAATAATTCTTTCTTTTTTTCGTGTGTATAGTTTTACATGCATTATTAGTTAATCTAAACTTTACAGTGACCCAGGTGACACCTTATGTACTCGATTTTGGTAGGGAATTTAAAAAGATATTCCTACATTAGAATCATGGGTCTTTTATGTTTATGTTTGGATATAGATTTTATTTTTTATTAAAATTGTAATTAAAATATAATTATA